TTTAAATCGTTAGTCAGCGATTCCTGCACTTGTTTCCGAATATTTCTGTCGGACAGTTTCCCTATGTCTATGTTGTTCTTGGAGGGTGCCTTCTTGATTCGTTTCAACCTCAGTTCAAACCTACACACAACCGGAATGTGGTCTGAGGGGACATCTGCTCCTGAATAGGTTTTTGCAGATCTTATTGAGTTTTTGAATCTGTTGGGTATAGCTATATAGTCGATTTGATTTCTAGCTATTTTTTCCGCAGAGTCTGCTGGCGATTTCCACGTGTAGCTTCTGCGAAGGGGGGAGTTTGAATATGGTGTTACTGAGTAGTAAGTTATGATCCTGGCAGAACTGTGTAAGACGGTCCCCTCTTTCGTTTCTTTCACCGAGTCCGAAATCCCCTGTGGTGCCTGGCACACGCCCATTATGATGGTTATCTCCTGTTTGTTCGTCATCTTAATCAAACGTTCTAGTTGTTCATAGAATTCTTCAATAACGGCGTCGTCTTTGTCGGCGGTTGGTGCATATATTTGAATGACATGGACGTCAAATGGGGTGGCGTGCAGCTGCAAGAGCATCATTCTGTCTGAGAAAGGTGTGAAGGATCTAACCGTTGGTTGGATACGTGGGGAAACAACTATACCCACTCCGTTCCTATGTTGTAAGTTGTCATTGCCAGAGTAGTATACTGTGTGGTCAAAGTATCTTGCATTGTCCAGAGTCGGGCCAGTGGGTCTCATTGGCGCTCATAATGTCTATATTCAGCCCATTCGTTTCATCTATTATGTTATAGGTTTTTCCGCTTTCGTACATACTTTGTACATTCCATGTAGCGATTTTAACCTGTTTTGGGGTTATTTTTCTGTTTCTCATGCTGTCGGGTTTTAGCATGTTCACGACCTGGGAGGCCAAACAGTCTAATTGTGATCCTCCCCTGCCGGATCTTGGTATCCGAGTACCATGATGACCAATAGTGGTTTCATCTTTATGTTGTACTGCCTTGAAAACTGTACTAGGGAAGAGTAAGTTTCCCGTTGCTTTCTCCATCGCTGTCTAAACGCTTTTTTGTAGTTACCACTCTGCCGTTTAGTGTCGGATCCACAACCAGATACAGATTATTAATCCCTGCTTGTGGTCAGTACTGATACCGCCAGCTGCCGCGGTTCAGTGCTAGTTTTCGTCCGCTCCGGGTGTTTCATTTCCCCGGTACACCCATATCTGGGAGGCATTTCCCTATCCACCACCTGGGGAGGCGCCTCGATGGGGGACTGGCAACCCCACACGGATTAACGCATAACCTATAAATTACGTAAACAAGAGAACACTAAAGACTTGGCTGAAGATCAACAACACTGTGACACATTTGCTTGTTTTCCAACAAGAATTACTTCTTCTTGCTACTTAATGGATTTATCAAGATATAGACTTTCGAGGCCATTCCTTGAAACTAATGGGTTTTTCGAGTTTTTAGGCCGTCGTTCGGTAGAATTTCTTCTAGACCTTTCGATAGCACCAGTGGCTTGCAGCTTCAGGAGTGGTTTGCTTGAACGCTTACACTGTTCTGATCATGGGGGCCTCACTCAAATAGTCAAGGTCAGACGATTTGATTTGTCAAGATTTTGATTGTTGTTAGCGCCACCTAGGCCCTGCTTACGAGGCAACTTACTCATAAATGAACGGAACATCCCCGAAGGGGCGCCATGGCGACGTTTACAGCGTGGGTGCTGATTTCAAAGATGCTGATTTGCATTTTTCGCGAGGCGTCATTTTCGGTATCACGGAAAGGCGTTGTTTCTTGCAGAAGTTTTTTGCTTTCTGCGACCAATAATTTATTAAAACATGAGTTTTAGACCTTGTTGTGTGCCTATCAGTGCGATGATAATTGTTCTAAACGGTAAGCTTTCGCATTACTAGAATTATTTAAATATTGATTTCTGGAGGACGCCAACATGGTGCATGGTCCATCCATTTTTCGTATTGAAATTATA